CTTCAACACTCAAATGATTTCGTATTGAAAGAAGATTTTATTTCAACAGAGCCATTTCCTTGGTGTGGATGTTATACTGAATCAGAGTTCATTTGAGAACTATGTGCTTATGCATGCTGCTAGATCACAAGTACAAAAACTGAGACACATCACAGTCCATGGTGTGTGTGTGTACTGGGACCACAGTCTTGCCTCTCCCCAATAAGACACAGTCAGGTTTGTTGTTGGCTTATGACTAGAGATGGGCAGAAAATTATGAACCAAAAAATATGACAAACTGGGCTGGTTTGTGGTTCTTTTCATGACCAATTTCAGGGATCCCATTTTGTTGAAGCAAAAATGAAACACTTATTTTTTTTCCCCCTGGGTGTTTTGTTTGCTCAAGCAAACTGGGATCACCCGTCCACCTCCTTCCAACTGACCCGCCATCACATCATAAAAATCATAGAAGAGTGAGGTTGGAAGGGGCCTACAAGGCCATCAAGTCCAACCCTCTGCTCAATGAAAGAGTACAAATCAAAGGATATCTGCCAGGCGCTTGTCTAAGTTTCTCTTGAATGCCTTGGCCTACCTTCTGCTGCAGTCCAGGGTGCCCTGATCCCCAGGTGCCATCTTCAAAGGAGTAGCTCTGACAGGGAAGCCGGGCTGCTGCCTCTGAGCATGCACCCGTCACCTAGAGCGATCGGCTGGGTGGCAGGCACAGGATCAGAGGCAGTGGCCCAGTTTTCCTGCCAGAAGCCAGATGTCTACCTTTGCGCATGTGCCTGCCACCCAGCTCATTGTCCGAGAAGCCCCAGCACTGGGCTTTCCTGGCAACCAGCTGGTCTACAAGTGCATACACAGAGGGTATGACTTTGCTCCTCCAGCTGGCTTCTCCACCACTGTGATCGCCTCCTGAACCACCTGGAGAAGCTGAACGTCCAGTGGCAATGATGGTGGTGGAAGGTAGGGCAGGCAGTGGCAGGGTGGTCATGGTTAAGAGATGAGCCTGAACCTCCGTGAACCATTAACCAGTTCATTTTCTGGGTGCTTCATGTCAGTTTGTGATTAGCCACGAATCTCCACTTTTCTGGTTCATGGTCATCTCTATTTTTGATTCTGTCTTATCATGCTGTGCATTTACCTTAGCAATGGGCAAATACCTGCCTGTTTGTTTCACATTTTGTAGTTAAATTTACCTACTAAACCAAGATTTCACTTTTTGTACTTGGAAAATTAAGAAAATTTTGTTCTGAAATTGAAAGAGGGAAGGGAGTTTTCACCCCAAGCCAGAGATTTCCCATGAGTAGATTTTCAAAGCAAAATATTTGTAAACAGAAGGAAAACTGACATCTATGGCACAGCATTACTGTTACTTGAAAGAGGGAAGGTGGTCTGAGGAAGTGAACTTGTCCACAAAAGTTCACTTTAAAATGTTGCACTTAGTCTTTAAGGTGCCACAACTTTTTTGTGTTCTTAAGTGTCTTCTCTTCTTTGCTTTCCCCCTCCCTCTGTTTCTTTCTCAAAAAGTGTGACACTTTGACCCATTCTGATCCAGGTTTTACTATATTATTTTCTCTGGAAAACATTCAGTTCGCATGATCCATCTCCACACTTTTCAACGCAATGCAGATCAATGGAAGGGAAGAGGACTTCCTTTAGTAGGTGTTTCTCCCACCTCTCATCATTTCTAATGTCTCAATCTGCTGCCCTGAAATTCTTTTTCAGTTTATTTATGCCAATGGACAATTGCCCACCTTTTTCCCCCTCCAGCTTTGTTGCTGTGAACCTGTTTGTACACTGCTGTACATTAAACAACTCCTCTATAAGCCCACTACTCATGCACCATTTTATAAAAATATCTAATTTCAAAACAACAATGAAATTAAAGAAATTATTTAGGGCTCACTGTTATACACTAACATATATGGTTTTAAGAACTCTTTTTAAGATGTGATGTGAATGTGTGCTGATATGCAAAAATGGCAAGATTTTATAAAGTCAGTCACCAAAAATAAATTGTCCTTTTTGAGGGCTGTGAAAAGGTTCAAGAAATGTGGGCCTTTAGATGGTTGTTGTTATTGCTACCATCAGCTAAGCGATCTCTCCACACTCATTTTGGGCTCAGTTATTGAAAACACTGTAAATGCCCACAGCTTCCATAAATATCTTAGATAAGCAACAGCCAAATATAGGGAAGAGAAAAGTGAGTGATATTTCTCCTCTTAACAGTACCTTCTGTATTTTGGCCTTACAAGAGCTCTAGTCCTCTGTTCTGGTTTCCTGAATCCAGGTAGGCAAACAGAAGATAGAACAGAGACTTCAACCTCATCTCCAAAAATGTGGTTTGTGCATAATGATGATGTGCATGATGTGAAATGGTAATCGAACCTATTTGTGTAAATATGCTCTAAAAACACAGGAAGTTCAGAAACTCAGTGAAGGACCAACAATTACATTACGAGGTTCGCTGACAGATGTAAGGTCCAAATCACACGTTTCTAGTAAAGAACTGGATATATGGTGGAATCAAAACTCACTGCTGTACGGTCAGTCTGATGCTATTATTTCAACCAGTCCAGAAGGAAACAAGTTATCAACAGGAAGGAATGAGTTTGGCCCCATTTATGCTGGACTCAACATTTTCTCAGGAGGCAGAGAAGGTAGCACAGCAGCCAATATTGAAACAAAGGAATCTCTTGCGTCAAGTCAGGACAGAAATATGGCAAAGACACAACAGAATGGCAACCATCACCTTTGAGGAAAATGACAACATTCCAGATATCTGCTTGAAGAAAAATGTGTATGAGACTGTTAAGTGGCTCATCTCCAGTGTGTGACCTGAACCTGAGACCTTGAGACAGATATGCCATCACAGGCAGCTCATGAAGTATCACGAGCTATTTCTGCATGCCACACCATACTGCAAAGTACTTTGTACACAGAGATGCATCATATTGAAACTGAAATTTATTATTATGGAGAAAGTACCACCATTTTCTGTCTAATGTTGAATAAAACATATTGACATTATCCAAGATCAGTTCTGGATGTGCAGCTCCAGAAAGGCCTGTCATACCATTATTCCTCCCTCTTGAGAAATGTAGCAGACACATTATTTAAAATGTTGTTTGCGCCATCTGCAAACTTTTATCACTAGTTACATTTCAGTAGGTTTTCAATTTCCATCTTTTTAAAGTTGGCAGGGGGGCATGGCCTTACTTTGACACATGCAGATGTTACTCTGAGCAAATTCAAACTGCTAAATACATTACAAAGCAAGCTGAAGAGATTTACTTTGAAAGTAAAGATGGTGCCTACCAAGCTGAGTTTCCAATGTGCCATGTTGTGGGAACTGCTTTTTAATTGGTGCAGTTTCTTTCATCACAATGTAGCAACACCAGAAGCTGAAGTGCTTCGTGACACATAGCTATTAGCAAACTTTAAGGTGCACAATCTGTGAATTTCAGTAAGTGACAAGAGGCAGGGTATATTAAAGATGAGATGTCTGTAAGAAATGAAATGTGGCAACCTTAACTCATCCCCACAAGCATAAAGAGTCAAGCCTGGGTTTCAAACAGCTAAGCACTGAACTTTCCATTTGAAACACTAAGTTTGTAGTTCTGTTTTTTCCAACATGCATTAAAAATAAAACCTCAGATAATTCCATCAAATTTATTTGCAAGTCTGGCATATTTCTTACCAATGAGCTGACTGAAATTTGCAGCCATCCCTATGATCTACAACCATGTTCTTCACAGCAGGTGCAAAATGTCTGCATTTTGTTTTTGAGAATTATGAGCCAAGTGGAAATGGTATCATAAGCCCCTACAATCAGGATGCACCTGGATATCAAATAAATCACCACTCTTGAGAAAACCTGTTCCCTCCATCCTGCTACAGGAATGCCACTAGGTATGCATGTGTGATGCACTAGACCCCCTAAAGGGTCACTGGGCATTTGGCCAGAGAGTTCGGCAGGCACTTACCTCCACTTTTGCGCTGGGGCAAGTCCCAAGACCTCAGCAGTGCATAGCATAAGCCCTTTGAACAAGTCTGACTGAAAAGAACACTTCACACTTACTCAGTACTTTCAAAGTACAGGGACATGGGCTTTGTGATTCCTTAGAACTCACAACAGCTCATTTAAGTAGGACTCTTAAATATTAGCTAGTTTGTGGCCCTCTCCCTTTCTGGATTTAGCCAGACCTCTATAAGAATTTTTATTAGAAAAATAGAGTTTCATTAGAATTCAGTTTATATTGCATAAGTATTAGCATCAAGAATATATTCAAAGATCATTGCAGTTCAATAAGATAACTACTTCCCATTTAAAATAATAAGCACTAAAAAGCTAATCTAGGGTAAGCTATAGTGGGCTAGCCCCCCTCTTCTTCTTTCTCCTTTACTTACATCCTCTCTCCTTCATGGAATCAAACAACACACAAACCATCACATTCCATTAACCTCCATCAATCTCCATCAGACAGTTTCACATAACCCATCGTCCATTTTCTACCCTCCTCACTCCTCCATTCTTCATGGCCTTCTTGGCTGTTAACCAATTAACTTTTTAGAGGTTGTACCACCTCCCTCCTTCCCTTATTCCCATGAGAGTCCAGGTGTTGTTTATCTCTTCTGTAACAAGCTTGGAATGTTGAGTCTTCCAGGGGCCCCTCGATCTGGCCTTCAAAACGCTATCTTGATCCAGGTCGTAACGGTCTTCAGGAAAACACTCTCATGGTGCTTAGAAAAAACACATTCCATAGTCCCTTAAATCATCTCCACACAGAACCTAACTGACTCCATTTTACATTTCTCTGACTACATGTCCCATCATCATGACAGCATGCATGATTTTTACAGCCATGGTTTTTACAGATTTGATTTTTGTGTGAGCACCAAAAGAAACATGTATTGATTGAGAGAGGAAGTGCTGAAACACCCAATCCTGAATAACAGAACCTCTGAAATATATTCTCAAACTTTCCATATTTTATAATGAATTGAAAACCACTTACATGCTATGCGGACCGAAGCTTTTCTGCTCTTCGAAGTCCCTAAATGGCTCCATGCAACACACTGGCACCAGTAGTCCTCTGGCCCATGAAAATCCTCTACTTGCTGTCTCGTCACATTGATGTATGCCTCCCGAACCTTCAAGCCTGAACGAGAAAGATATGGGGAAATTAGCTGATATAAAATATCTTACTCAGGCATAACACTAAGGTTGGTCAAACCTTTTCTTTTTAATTAAACAATTCTTTTTTTAATCAAAGGAAAGCTTTAATTACTCTGACAATAATATATGGCTGCTAATTAAATTCTAACAGCCAAGTAGGTCAGGATACATGAGCTGAAAGCATCTGCCTTCAAAAAGAGGATTTTTCCATATCTGCCTTTTAAATCTACTGTAGACACATTTACTCTTAATTTGTTTCGTTTGAAACAAATATCCAACAGTAGTCTTCAAATAAGCTGTGGCTGCAATGTTAGACTAACTTTCTTACTGAAATCAATGGAGCATATTGGAAAATAAATCTGTAAATTTGAATTGCTACACGAGGTGATTATGGTTTACTGCTACTGGAAATTACAAATATGGCATGAGAAAAATGACCAAAAAGTGATACAATGAAACTGACAGTAGATAATCAAGAAATACATAAAATGCAGCACCACAGTCAAATGTGAAATAACACTCAGAAGCCAGTATCACTAATAGTAGACCAGAATAGTACACCAGTGTTTGATTGGAAGAGGACATTGGCTAGATACTGATTAATTACCATAAATTCCTGGCTTGTGTGGTTGACAATTTTATACTACAAAAAGTGGAGAAAGAAACTAGAGGACTATCATGTTTCCCCAGGGTCTTATATTAATTTTTGCTCAAAAAAATATTAGGGCTTATTTTCAGGTGATGTTTTATGTAGTCATGTCATCTTGTTCTGGTTGCTGCACAATGGTGGAGGGCAGGGTTTCACTAAACTGGGGCTTATTTTTGGGGTAGGGTTTATATTACAAGCATTCTGGAAAATCATACTAGGGCTAATTTTCAGGTTAGGTCTTATTTTTGGTGAAACAGTAGCTATCCTTGATTCTAACCAACAGAAACAAGTTGGTGGAGAAGGTGCCAGTAATGGGAACTCTAGGCAAGAGTGACCATATCCTTCTAGAATTCTTGATTTCAAAGGAAATCAAAGCAGAGTGCAGCCACAAATATATAATGGATTTTTAAAAAAAGCCAATGTTAGTGAACGCAGAAAAAGAATAATTATAATCCAATGGCAGGAAATCCCAACAAGAAAAGGAGTCCAAGAAGGGTGAGACCTTCTTTTAAAAAGGAGATTTTAACGGCACAACTACAAACAAGTCAAATAAGAAAAGAAGGAGGGAGACAGCAAAAAAAGGCCTGTGCGGCTTCACAAAAAGCTCAGAGAGGATCTGAAAACAAAAAAGGACACATATAGGAAGTGGAAAGAAGGCCAGGCGTCAAAGAGAACAGACAAGTAGCAAGGAATTGCAGGGAAGGCAAAGCTGAGAATGAGCTGAGACTAGGTAGATATACTAAAAGCAACAAACAAACAAACAACCATTCTTTGGGTATGTGAGCAGCAAAAAACAAATAAAAGAAACAGCGGCTCAGCTACTCAATGCAGATGGATAAATGATAACAGGACAAAGAAAAGGCAAAAGTTCTAATTGCTCTTTAGCTCAATCTTTTCCCAAAGGACTATAACCCTCCAGACAAATGTGAAGTGCAAGCCGAGGGATGAGATTGAAGATGAAGATTAATAAACCAATAGTCAAGGGATACCTTATTATCTTGAATGTGTTCAGTTTTCCAGGGCCAGATGAACTGCATGCAAGAGTATTGAATGAAATGGCTGAAGAACTCTCAGAACCACTGTCCATTATTTTCTTGAAATCATGGGAAATGGGTGGAGGAGGGTTAATGTTGTCCCTATCTTCAAGAAGAGCAAAAAGGAGGAGCCTGGGAACTAGAGACCAGTCAACTTGACATCAAGGCCAGGGAAAATTTTTTGGAACAAATTATAAAGTGGTAACTATGCAACACCTAGGAAACAAAGTAGTAATAACTAGAAGCTAACATGGACATATTTTACTTTCTTGGGCTCGATGATCACTGCAGATGGAGACAGCAGCCATGAAATTAAAAGACGCCTGCTTCTTCGGAGGAAAGTGATGGCAAACCTTGATAGCATCTTAAAGAGCAGAGACATCACCTTGCCAACAAAAGTCCGAATAGTCAAAGCTATGGTTTTTCCTGTCGTAACGTATGGAAGTGAGAGCTGGACCATAAAGAAAGCAGACCGCCGAAGAATTGATGCCTTTGAATTGTGGTGCTGGAGGAGGCTCTTGAGAGTCCCCTGGACTGCAAGGAGAACAAACCTATCAATTCTAAAGGAAATCAACCCTGAGTGCTCACTGGAAGGACAGATCCTGAAGCTGAGGCTCCAGTACTTTGGCCATCTCATGAGAAGAGAAGACTCCCTGGAAAAGACCCTGATGTTAGGAAAGTGTGACGGCAAGAGGAGAAGGGGACGACAGAGGGGGAGATGGCTGGGCAGTGTCTGCGAAGCAACCAACATGAAATTGACACAATTACAGGAGGCAGTGGAGGATAGGAGGGCCTGGCGTGCTCTGGTTCATGGGGTCACAAAGAGTTGGACACAACTAAATGACTAAATGAACATGGAACAGCAAATACCCTGGAAGACAGAAACAAAATTCAAAATGATCTTGATAGGTTGGAGCACTGGGCTGAAAACAACAGAATGAAATTCAACAGGGATAAGTGCAAAGTACTGCACCTCAGAAAAAGGAACCAAATGCACACTTACAAGAAGGGGGGGTAGCTGGCTCAGCAATACTACAAGTGAGAAGGATTCTGGAATTGTTGTAGATAACAAGCTGAATCTGAGCCAATATTTATATGTATTTGTCTGATATTTTCATATATATATATGAAAATATATATCAAGGACACACGGACACACACACACACACACACACACACACACGGCCTTGATATATACAGACAAATACAGTTGCAAGCAGCTTAGATACACAAAAGAGCTGGTGGGAAGCTAAGCATGAACAAAAGAGAGAGTATAGCTTCAAAACAACACCATGGAAGTGACATGTTAATGTTAGAGTCATTACTCGTTTTGCTTTAACAGGAGGAAAGGGCTCTAAATATTCTTATAAAATAATACTTTAAAATGTTATATCTCCCTTTTAACATTAGGTTTATAAGTGATAATTCCTAAATATGGCTTTGGAGTATAAAAACTAGAGAGTTTCTTACGGATCTGCATCAGGGGGCAGAACTACAGTATTTGAGAGAATAATATAAACAAAGCTACCCAAGTAAGATCTGGGGAGAAGGAAGGGTTGGTCAGTGTGGTAACAGGATGCTGCTCTCTTTCTGTTCTGGAAGGGGCATGGCAGTCCTTCTATGAAAGCCAGACATCTGCTGGGAGCCTGGGTGACTCTTTCACATCTCTATGGATTTTTGAATGAAGCATTGCATAATAAGAAGACAGTAGAATGCTACAGAGACTGTTCATCTCCTTGTTTCCCAGGCTATGAACCATGGGAAGACAAGGAAGAGAAGAAATTGGGTGTTTGATTCCTTTCCCTTTTAGTGTTACTTATCCTAGTCTTTTGTAAAACCTAAGACCCATGAACTGTAGGGACCTGAAATTAAACTACTTTCTCCTTCACATGCTGGTAGAGGAGATTCTAAAACACTGCTAATAACTAGTAGGATGACTGTAAGTTGCTGGTGTCCACCATATCATTAAAGGAAAACCATATATCTTGGCTGAACAGAACTTTTGGCAAAGTACAGCAAAGGTTTGGCTTAAAAATAGTAAGAGGTTTATAAAATATATTTTTATTTTCATTTACCAAATCTGGAATATTATGCCAGTTCTTAACATTTCTAGTCAATATTACTTTAAATTAACTGGCCAAATTAAACCTACTGGCACTCTACACTGTACACTGTTTTGCTTTGCAAAACATCTAACTAGACCCTTGTAACACAATTTACATGTCTTTGACGACTCATTTGCTTCAAAAGATTCTTTCTTTCATCTAGCAAGCTCAGATCTTGGACATTCATATAGGTCCTGCAGAAATTAGTATTGGATCAATATGTATACTACTTTGTGAATTAATAAAAAATACCTCGCATATTATGATAATTTCAGATATAAAAACAGATCATCCAAAAATCCTGCCAATCTCAAAACTGACAAAATGAGGAGGGAGTGTATGTATAAGAAGAGACAGAGAGAAGGCTCTGATTCCTGAATGCCTGCCATTTCAATAATATTAATTAATTGGATTTCTTAGCAGAATCCAAATTTAAATTTTCTACATCACTAGCTAACATTTTACTAAATATTTCAGGGGAACATGCAAAACATTCAGAAAAGAATGCTTTTGATGCCTAACTCCAAACAAAGCACAATTGACAAATAAAGCTGAGGCAGACCCAGGAAGATTGCAACTAGTGCAAGCAAACAGGAGTTTCCTGGGGGAGAGATAAGAAGGAAAGGTCTACTGGAGGAAGGGAAGACCAAGGAGACAAAGGGAGAGAGGTGAGTGGTTTTTTTTAAGAGTAACACCAGGAGAGGACCTGGAGAAACTCCTAGAAATTGCCCAGACAGAAGCACCATGTGCTCAGCTTAAGAGCCATGTGCTTGGCTTAACAGGAAGGTGTGTGTCCTTAACAGGAAGAGCCGTGTGACTGGCCTAACAGAAAGGAGAGTGTCCTGATTACTGCTGAGAGCTATAAGTAGCAGCTGTGAGTTCTGGGAGGATCTTTTGATTCCTGACTCTGAACAGAGCACAGCTGAGGAATAAAGCCGAGGCAGACACAGGGAGCTCATTGTTCAAAAAGAACAAAGAGAACAGAAAGGTATTTATTTATTCATTCATTCATTCATTCATTCATTCATTCATTCCCCCGCCTATCTGGTCAACATGAGTTGTAGTATATGTAAAATTGCTCATTGCTGCACAGAAATACAGGAGGAGGAGATTGGATGTCAAATTGAAGGCATTTCGATCAATCTAGTTGGGGAGAAAGAAACTTGGGGACTAGCTATCCTTGACTTGATTCTAA